AAAAAAAAGTTCTTTCAACAACAATGGGATCCCTGACACCATCCTCCAATTTGATGCAAAATATTAAGCCAATGTTCAAGATTGCCTGTGTTCTGGAATCAATATATCTTTCAATTCTTCTCTTTCTTATACCAAACTGTGTTATAACCTTGCTTTATCTCAGACATTACCCATAATTTTCTAGTTTCTCGAGCCCATTTACAATGCTCTTCATAATGAAGTGTCCCCCAATACAATCTAATCCCAACATAATCTAATTCTTCTGTCCCTCAAAGACCACTTCAAATTTCTCCTTTTTTATGAAGGAAGTATTTGAAGTCTTTTTTTGATCCTTCATGTGGATTCTCACTCTTCTTTGAAATTCCACAAAATTTGTGGACATTTCTCCTATGGTAAGTGCGTGTGTGTGTGTGTGTGTGTGCGTGCGCACACACTATTTATATTTCTATTCTAGTTGGGTAATATCTTTATTTTAGAATAATCATCCCCTTCATCCATATTGCCAAACAAATGGTGGGTATTTGATAAGACTATTCTGACAAGATAATTACAGAAAAGGCACTTGTAGGATATAGAAACTGATAACTATTCTGATAAGACAATTTTTAAAAAGACATTGTAAGATACAGAAAATGAATGAACAATGGTGTTAAATTAGGAATATTTGTGACTTATGCCTAAAACAATGGCACTTACAATTTGACCTTTACACTTTGGTTGAAAGCCTCACAGGCATTAAGTTTAGAAATCTGGTTAGAGTCATATTACACAGACCCTGAAGGGCAGGATAATAAAAGCAGGCACATTCAGTTCTCCATGGGAGTCACTGATGGCTTTAGGAGCTGGAAGGTAAGAAAACCTGAGATTTGAATACCAACAAGAAACATTCTGGTTGACTCATCAGTCTCTGAGGAATATGGTTGAAGGTAAGGCATTCCTGTGAGAAGAATTGAGTCTTCATATGCTGATAAAATCAATTGTGTGAAGTCTTGAAAAAGTCACCAAGTTAAAACTGCTTTGTAGGCTTCCTGACACTAGATATTTGAGTGCGCACATCAATAAAAGGAAACAGACCCAAGGTACAGCAACCACTACTGAATTTCCAAGCTGTTTTCCAGACAAGAGAGAAAGGGACAGAAAGCACACCAAACACAAACAACGGGGAATTAAAAATCAAGGTGAATTCCTCATCAGTAACACTAGAAGCGAAAGGACAGTGGGAAAATGCCTTGAACATTCTAAAACAAGAATTTCCAACCTTAGATTCTATGCTGAGACAAACTATCCATGAAGGCCAGGGTGAAAACAAACACATTTCCATACATGTAGAGTCTCTAAACATTTACCTAGCATAAATCTTTTTCAGACCACACCAAAAGAAAGACAGAAACCAAGAAAGAGAAAGACAATTTCTCTGCCCACTCTTCCTTAGGGGATCAGGGAGCTCCCTGAAAAGGGAGGCAGGTACAACCCCCACTTACCATAGAAGAGGAATGCTTTGGTCATGTGATGGTGGAGGTAGGTCCTGTTAATGGTGAAGAAACAAGCATCTGTCCCGCACTGCCCAAGCCTCCCAGTTTCCCCAGTCAGTGGGGACCACCAGACCATAATAGGATAGCCATCAGTTTCTATTTTGTTTTTCCTATACAGGGTCAGTGCTTCTTTCTTACGAAGTGAATAGAGATGTGTAGCCTCTTCCTTCGAATGTCCATATCGCAAATTGGAGTGTTTATACTTCTTCCTTTCAAATTTTCCCAGCTCGATCACTACCTAAAAGAGAGGATAATTATTACTAGAGTCAGATCATTTAATTCTTTTTGGCACATCTAATGGTCAGCTTGATGATTTAGCCTTGTATTACTTTTTGTTTTGTTGCTGTGACAGATTACTACATACTTAGGAATTTCAACCAACACAAATGTATGGCTATACAATCCTAGAGGTCAAAAATTTGAAACAAGTCATACTAAGCTAAAACCGAGTTGTCAGCAAAAACACTATTTTGAAGGGAAAGCTGCATGCCTATCATTTATTGCAGCACTATTTACAATAGCTATGGTATGGAAACAACCTAAATGTTCTAAAACAAACAAATGGATCAAGAAGATGAGGTATATATACAGGTGGAATATCACTCAGCCATGAAAAGGATAAATTCATGCCACTCATGACAACATAGATGAAGCTGGAAGGGACTGTGCTATGTAAAATAAGTCAGAAGGAAAAAGAAATATATCACATAGTCTCACTTATATAGGCAATATAAAAAAAAAGGGGGCAAAACTTGCAGACCATAGATCTGAGACATACAATAGGGGAGGAGGAAGGAAAGAGGTGAAAACAGGGGAGAGATGAATACAAAGACCATGGTGACGGTTCGTGGGTGCCATGGTGGTAGGAGAATTATGGATACACCTGAGAGGAGAAATTAAATATTGTACAAAAATGAACAATGATGTAAAAAAAATTTTAAATAATTTTAAAAATCAAAATGCCAGTAGAGCTGCATTCCTTCCTGGAATCATTAGGGGAGGATCTGTTTTCTTGTTTTTATTTTAGAGTTACCTCACAACTTTCGAATCATGGCTTCCTTCCTCCATCTTCAAAGCCAGTGATGCTATATCTCCCGAAACCTTTGGTCCTCATATCTCTCTGACCCCAGCTGGGAAAGATTCTTAGCACTAAGGACTTCTGGGACTACCTGGACCCACAATAGATTATTTAGGATAATCTCATTTCAAAGGGTGTCACCTTAAATCAACCTGTATAGTCCCTTTTGCAAAGTAAAGGAACATAGTCACAGGTCCCAAGATCAGGGAACAGACATAGTCTCCCATATATCTACCAACCAGCATGCTTAATAATTCTGGTCAACACAGGTACATTTACTACACAGATTACATTTTTCCTCCACTTCATTAACATATACAGTACCTAGGATAGTTGTGTCTCCTAATGAATGCTATGAGGGTCAAGGTTATGACCTGGACATGAATAAACAGCTGACTTCTTTATAGTACAATTAAAGGAGTCATCACATGGGTGTTCTATTTCTGATAATATCTGTGATGGCACTGAGATATTTAAACAGCCCAACAGTACTAGGTTCCCTTCCATTTAAAACCACATTTTTTATTTCTTTAAGAATAGTCTTGTTAGAAAGGCAGTTAAGCCACCAGTAACAGCAACGCAGAGGCAGAGCAGGTGGGGTGGAAACAGAGGAGCAGGCAGTTCTCCAAAACAAAAATTTTGTCCTTTTGTCAAACATTAGGTTTGATATTGATATGACAGAATAAAAGTAGTGCAAAGTTAGGGGTGTGTTCCATATATACCTGGAACACAGACTATACAAATAATGCAGTTAAAGGGAGACACAGTTTTCTATGGTAACTGCTCCATTGGCTCACAGAGGACAGTGCTTGGACAGTGCTGAGGACAGACCCATTCTCAGCAGCCAAGGCTGATCTTTATGCATTTGCTGCTTCAGTGTCAGCAAAGAGCTACAGCGCTCTGATGCTATATTAGAGGACAGAACTCGGAAGGATCCATGACTTTCACTGGATTCTCTAAGGATGCAAGATCAAAAAATATTAAGAAATAGAAAAATATGGTAAACAACCTAAATGCTTACTGACACAGAACCGTGTGAAAAAGTAATATCCACACAATAGAATACTCTCCAGTCACAAAGAAAAGTGAAATGAAGCCGCTGAGAGCAAAATGGAAGGAGTTTAAGGGAACTAGTGTCACAAAGCAAGTTAAAATGACAGATACTGGATGTGTACATAACAGAGGATTGATTAGTCCAAGAAAAAAATCTTATAAAAAACAGTGAACACTGATAAATGAAGTTAGGGTTCTAAAGTTAATAGAAGGGCCTCCCTGGTGGCTCAGGGAGTGAGTCTCAGTGCTGTCACTGCTGACACCTGGATTCACTCCCAGGTCAGGGAGCTAACCGTATAGGCACAGCAGACCTCTCCTGTCTCACCTGCTCTCTCCTCAGCAGTGTATTTCAGTCCATCTGCCTGTTCTGCTCCCCACTCTGTCTCTGGTGAATGCTTTTACCTGCTGCACCTCTCGCTTGTACACCAGTTCTTGTGTGCAATAAGTACATTTTTAAAATTCTTTTAAAAAATGAAAAGTTAAAAGGGATTAGAGAGAGAAAAGCTAAAGGGGTAGAGGGAGGGTGATGGGGGGAAATTTTTAAAGAGAGGGAAAAAACGTTCACCCAATGTAGCACTTCATACCTTCCTCCCAGTTTTAGTTTCTTCTAGACTTTCTCATGTTATAACAGGAAATAAAGAGGTGGGCCAGTGGGGGTCGGGGAGAATATATATGAAACCACTGAGTAAAAACCAGTGGTTATAACTCCAAAAGGAGTAAGGGTTTATATAGCTTTAAAATATTATGGATCATCTGTGACAACAAAGTCAGCATTATTACAGCAAAGCAATCACTGGAAGCTCAAGAAACGTCTAACGTTTGCCAACAGTTTTCTCAGCATTTTTATGATCATAATGGGACTATTTCCCAATAGCCTGGTGGGATAGAAACTTACAGCCACAAACTCTCTATATTTTTAGCCCACCCTTCCCTGCAAATGTACTACCAACTTTAAAGAAAGATTTTTAGAAAGTCATAGAATATATAACTGCAAAAGAAAATTTTGTCTACATTTCTGATTAATATCTACTATGAGATCCAAGTCTGTTTTCAAATAAATAGGGTATGCTTTAAAGGGAGATTTTTTTTTTTTGCCATGCAGACCTTTTTTTTAAAAAAAAAACACTAAGCCTCAGATGTTAAGTTGCAGGAAATGTGGGGGGCAAAGAAACATATTGAACATAGGATAAAATGAATTGAGAAATTCTAAAAGACAAGTGGTTCAATGTTTTCAACAAATCTACGACATGGAAGAAAAGGTAGGACAGAAGAACTTTATGGTGAAAAACAAAAAACCCATAAAAACTTGAGATACGCCTACTATTTGCAATGTGTGGTACTGATTTATTACAGATTTAGAGGAACTACAATAAAAGACTTTTGAGATAGTTGGAAAAGTTTTAACATAACTTAAAATATAGATGATACTGTGTTAATTATTGCTTATTTTACTGAGTATGACAAATAAGAATGTGGTTATACTAAATTCCTTAAATTTTCCATCTGTTAGAGAATGTGAAAGTAAATCCAGGTGAAATGATATAATGTTTGGGATTTGCTTTAAAAAATATTCTGAATAAATGCACAAAATGATGTGAAAATAAACTATTACATTATTAAATATATATATATTCCGAATGTACTCATGAATTATTTGTACAACTAAGAAGTAAACAAATTTAAAAAATAAATAGATACATATATACCCAAAGAACACACAAATATTATGTACAAAATATAAATGTGAGTGAAAAATAATGTCCGAGATTAACGATTTCCTCCAGAAAACTACAATGTTTTAGCATAACTGTATATAAATAAGGATAATATTTTCATGTTCAGATTATTAATTATGCTATGGGAGCTGTTACAGGTTATAGGTTAAAATATATCCCCTCCAAATTCCTTACTCAAGCCCTAAACCCACATACCTCCAAATGTGACTGCATTGGAAGACATTGTCTTTAAAGAAGTAATTATATTAAAGCGAGGTCATCCAGGTGGGCTTTATGCAATTTGACTGGCATTCTTTAAAGAAGAGCAGGTTAGAATTCAGACAAGTACAGAAAGAAGATCATGTGAACACAGAGGTAAGATGATCATCTACAAACTGAGAGAGACCTTATAAGATACCACACCCTAGTGACACCTTGATCTTGGACCTGCCCCTCCAAAACTATAAGAAAATTAATTCCCGTGGTTCTGGAAGCCCTAGCAAACTAATACAGCATCTATGGTGTGATTTTTTTTTTCCCTTCCTTTTCCCTACTTAGACAGAAAATTATTTGATTTGCTTAACCCACAAACCAGAAATATAGTAATGGTTCTCAATGTATAGCCATTATATTTTTTTATTTTCAATATCAAAAAAAATACAACCCTGTCCGTTGAAGTATTCAGTGTTTCATCGGGGACTGGGAAATAGCCCATATCACATTGCTAGTGGTCAATAGAAACTAAGTTCAGGTGAAGGTTTATTCCAGTAATCATATCACATTGCATACTCTGAAGGCATACATGTCAAAATATGACAATTTATTCTAACATCAAAAATAAAACTCTTAGCTTAGACATTCCTCATAACTGGAAAATAAGTAAATGTCTGGTTAATCACACTGTTTCATAATTTCTTATAGAAAGCAGCAGAAAGCTACAGGCCCTTCTGCAAAAGCGGGCCCTAGAAAACCTTTAAGCTAGACAAAAGAGTCAAGACCCCCTCCAACCCAAATCCCAAAGTGTGTTTATCATATCTCATTCGATCTAAATAAAAAAGGGAGATTCTGTAGTGTGGGCAAAAAACAAAAATCCAGAAAACACCTTCATTGCCATCAGCTCCACATCTGAAATACTCATATCCACACATAATCTTTAAAAGACCTTTGACTTTCAGAAAAGGAAAAGTACCAATGGTTTCACTCATAGCCAGACCAGGCGAGAAAATAATAATAATAGACCAGAGACACTTTACCGGGTGGAGTAGGATCAAAAATGGTGGGGGGAGGGAAGCACCAGACTATGGTGATGGCACCCGGGTGACTTGGTGATAGGATGCCCACGGGGATTACAACTGAGATGGAAAAAAGCACAAACTGATGTAAAAATAAACTATTATATAACTTGGAAAAAAAAAAAAGATCTTTAACTTTAACTTTCAAACTGGACAGCTGGTATTTTCATGGGTGATAAGTACATTTGAACTGTATCTGTATACATATTACACTCATATAATTTTACTATCATTGCATAATTTTTATTTTAATTTCCAATCAGCAAAAATGACATTCAGAATAGCCAAGTAAAAGAAATAATGGGAGGACTGACGAAATGTTTTAGTTCACTCAGGACCACACAGTCCTTGATCTAGCAGACCATGTCAAGAATGACATATTTACTAATCTAGATGTCTGTGTTCTGTATGTACTACAAGATTTAGATTTCTTATTGTCAAGTATTCTTGATTCTTCATGAAAGTTCTCTTTCAGAAGTGACTGAAAACTTTGAGGAAGTCATCCAATTTTGATGCAACAAAACAAACTGAGCTTTACTTTCTGTTCCTCCAAAATCAGGACCCTATGAGTGTCACAAGCTGACCCTCTGTCAATGACTTTGTTTCTATCTGATATATTCATTAAATCTCAGTTTCATCTGTTTAAAAAAAGAAATTTTCCCTAACTGGGACAGAAAACCCTGATCCTGAGATATAAGACAAAAAGTAAAGTACTTGGCGTTAGAAAAAGACAGGATGGGAGCAGGGGTTGGGGCAAAGACCCAGAAATCAACACTATCCAACCCAAACCCTCGGTACCTGGAGGGTGACAAGCAGAAAGATAGTAGCTGTGATGCACAGGCAAGATGCCCAGAGCCGTCTCCTCCGAAGGCGCACCATGCTGCTTTGGCCCGGGTGCCTGATAGAGGGCTGGCCTAGTTACCAGCTGTTCTTCAGTCAGCCCAGAGCCCGAGACAGCTTCACACAGAGGAGCCATCTGGGTGCCAATTTCCTCCAAGGCCCTTCTTGCTGGGATCTGGTCTCCATGAAAGACTGAGAAGTGGGCCTCTGACTGAGCCCGGCTTGGCATAGAGAGGGAACAGCATGCAGTCTTCTTAAGCTATCATCAGAGCAGCTGGAAATTCCTCAAACAGAAGGCATCAAATCATTCTGTAACAAATGAATAATCTTTTAGTTATCCTGCAGAAGATTTAATAAATGCATTCTTTCAGTGTTATCATACAGAAACCCAAAACTTAAAACCCAAAAGGAAGTTTCATGATCATGGCTTAATAGATCATTTACAGATAAGTAAAACAAGACCAAAGAGTGTTAAGTGACTTGTTCATGGTCAAAAGACCCTTAGATCTGCAACCGGGGGGGATTCTAGAATTCTGTTTCAACTTAATTTTCTCTGCCAAAAAACCTTGCTCTTGAAGTCATCTATATTGTAGTCACTTCCTCCTTTGTAAGTTTCAAAGAAGTAGACAATGGAGTAGATATTAAAGGACTATCCACACAGCCCTGCAAAATTTAGGAACATGAATAAATAAAAGGTTTTGATCCATTTTTCAAAAATGGATAGTGATTACCAATGCCCCCGCCCCAAGGAAAACACTTTACAATATAAAGAATTGCAATTGTTGATTCATCTGCTTAGTCTTTTAAAGCAAACGTCATAAAGTAATGGTTTATATTAAAAATATTGTTCTCTGGCTAATCTGAAATGATATTTTCATCTCTCTGAACTAAGGGTGATTTTTTTAAAGTTTTTTAAATGAACATCATAGTCTGATAGACTGCTTTTTTCCCCCCAAGATTTTAGGAAGTCAAATGTCTGGAGCAAATTACACTGGAGCCAGAATAAAGCAAGGATCAATATTCTAAAGGAAGGGTGGTGTTGCTTCACAATATTCCCAGGATCTCATTCTCAGTCAGATCTACATATCTCTAGCATATTGAATTAAAAAGAACTAGAGGGCCCTCCCTGGTGGTACAGTGGGTTAAAGCACAGGACTAAGAAGTTAAAGCCACTTCAGCATGAGTTCAATCCCCCCTGGGAGATAATCCACATGGCACAGCAGACCCTTCCTGACCCACCCACTGCTCCCCTCAGCAGTGTACTTCATTAGTCAGCCTGTTCTGCTCCCTACTGTCTCTGGTGAATCCTCTCACCTCCCTGCACCTCTGGCCTGTACCCCAGTTCTGTATGCATAAATAAATAAATCTCTTTTAAAAAATAGAACTAGAATATAAAAACTATGTAGAATTCTGGTTAAAATCTTTGGTCTTACATTCTTCAAAGAAATAGAACAAATATTGATGAGACTCATATGAAACCACAAAAAACCTTGAATAGCCAAAACTCTCATGATTAAAAAGAAAGAGAATGGAGACACTCCATTTTTTAAATTTCATTTCACACTCCCAGATTTCAAGCCATACTACAAAACGGTAATAATTAAAACTGCATGGTGCTGGAAGAAGAATAGACACAAAGACCAGTGGATTCAAACAGAAAACCCAAATATAAACCCACAGGTTTATGGGCAGCTAATCTTTAACAACTGTGCAAAGAGATACAATGGAACAAAGAAAGTTTGTTCAATAGATTGAGCTGGGAAAACTTCGATGCTATATACAAAACGAAATGATAGTAGATCACTACCTCGCACAATGCACAAAAACCAACTTGAAGTGGATTAAAGACCTAGACATAAGACCCGAAACCATAAAATACCTAGAAGCAAAGGTGGGCCAAACACTAAATGACGTACACCTCAGTATCTTTAAAGATACAACACCCAATGCAATGATAGTGAAGGAAAGGATAAACAGTTGGAACTACATCAAGTTAAAGAGCTTCTGTACAGCAAAGAGACATTACAAAAACAAACAGACATCCCACTGATAGGGGAAAAAAATTTTCTCACACAATACTAATAATAAAGGATTGATCACAATCCTTCATACAAAGGATATACAAAGATATACAAAGAATTGATGAAACCCAACAAAAATAAATAACCCCACCAAAAAATGGGCAGAGAAGCTAAAAAGACACTTCTCCAAAGAGGAAATGCAGACAGCCAACAGCATATGAAAAAATGTTCAACATCACTTGTATTAAGGGAGGTATAAATTAAAACCACAATGAGATACCGCCTCACACCAGTGAAAATGGCACATCTTAAAACAACTAGCAACAACAAATGTTGGCAAGGATGTGAGAAAAAGGAACTCTCCTGCACTGCTGGTGGGAATGCAAACTCCCCAACTCCCAGCTTCTCCATAATTCAATTTCCAAAGGTAAATAATCATGGTACCTAATCAGTTAATATAAAAATTAAATAAGATAAAATTGGTGAACATTTATTTTAAAATCTGATCCATAATAAAAATCCAATAAATATCTGCTATTCTTATTTAAAATATTGTTATAAAATCTTTATATCTTAAAGTGGAAAATGACAACAAATTCATAGAGAGTATTTTGCTGTTCAAATTCCAAAGTAATTGGGATTCCAATTACTATGGGGGTAGCAGTGGGTGGGTGAGGAGGTCTGCCACACCAATTTTGTCTTTTTTTTTTTTTCTCTTGGTCTCTTATTTGTCCCCCTATATTCTTCCTATAAATGAAATCACCTGATATTTTTCTTTTTCCTTCTGACTTATTTCACTGAGCATAATCCCTCCAGCTCAGAGAGTTTCTCCTTTATAAATGACATGAGTTTGTCTTTTTGATTGCTGAATAGTATTCCATTGTGTATATGTACATATCTTCTTGATGCAGTCATCTGCTTTTGTGCAAAATTATAACTGATAAATATACAAGAAACTAGTTAGACTCTGAAATTTATGCATTATATGTTTTAGCACTAAGACTATAAAATATGCTAGCTAGCTACTAGCTAATACAACCACAAATTATCTGCCTGTACCAAAGAAAAAGAAGACATTTGTGCAGAATAGCTTTCTACTGGTTGGTATACCAGAGAAAAAAAGTAACCAAAACCCCTAAGACCTGAAAAGAACCTACCTTTCTACTTATCAGTAGTAATAACTATCAATACTATTGATAGTTTGAATTTTGTGTTTCAATCCTAGTTTTGTCACTTATATATAACCTACTTTGGACATTGTAAGCAAGAAATACTACCCAGTCTTCTTGCAGCAAAGATGATCAAATTTTCATTTTGCATGCAAAAGCAATTTACTATTGATATAATTAATCTAATCCAGATGAGGTAATAAAATAATATTACCATTTCATTTTTTAATGTAATTATACAGTGGTTAAAATTTTTTTAAAGAATTAAGTGTATAATAAGGTATTGTTAGTTATAGGAACAATGTTGTACAGATCTCATGAATGTGTTCATTTTCATAATTGAAACTTTATACCTTGATTAGCAACTCCTGGCAACTACCATTCTACTTTCTGACTCCATGAGTTTGATTATTTAAAATATCTTGTAAACATGGAATCATAGAGTATTCATTCCTGTGATTTACTTACTTTACTCAGTCTAGCAAGTCTAAGTGAGTTGCCTAAGTTCATATTTCTTTTTTTTGTTTTTAAAGATTTACTTATTTGTGCATACAGAACTGGGGTACAGCCAGAGGCTCAGGAGCAGTCAGAGGATTCACAGAGACAGAGTGGGGAGCAGAACAGGCAGACTGACAAAGTACATTGCTGAAGGGAGCAGTGGGCAGGTCAGGAGAGGTCTGCCACACCATGTGGGTCACCTCAGGGGCTGAGGATCAAATTCATGCTGAAGTGGCATTAGCTTCTTAGTGCTGTGCTTTAACCTGGTGCACCAGCAGGGAGGGCCCCAATGCTGTTTTTTTAACTAGCTATTCATTTCCTACCAAAACCAACTCTTTGCAGTTCAAATTTTGAAAGCATTTCATAGGGTTTAGAAATGTTTGTACACTGAGCAAAACTTACCTACATGCAAGTAACATTGTTTGTCCACACTATCCTCTTTGTTTCCTTAATTTTCCCACTTTGGTTTTTTCAAAAATATTGTTTATAAAATAAAACTTACTTTCTTAAAATAGAAAAATAAAAGACGAACACCATAAAAACAGTTACAATGGAGACTGTATTTAGTTCACTGTCAAACAGTGCCACCTAGGAGGAGGCCAGCAAGTGAAATGGAGCAGAACTTAAGGATCCTCTGATGCCTTCTTGCAGGCAGGAGGAGAAAGTTCTACAATTGAGGTGAGTATGCTATCTAAGTTGGTGGCTTTGTAGTGTGCAAAATTCTGGGCTGCTACTTCAATGCAAATGGCCAGGCCACATCTGAACTGTCTCCACTGGCGCTACATCACAGTGGATCACAATGGCCTAGTTGCAGTGTGACATCAGTTGCAAGCTCAAGATTGGTCGTGACTTCCTGGGGTGTCTCACTGAGAGAAGGAAATATGTAGAAGGAGATCAGCCTGAAGCCCACCTTACCATACTCAAAAATGTGCCGGGGCAGAGTGCAAGCAATAACATGACAGGAACAATCCCAAGTTAGAGTTGCATAAATGTCTGTTGAAGAGGCAGTGGTAAGAAAAAGTCGTTTTTGTGTGTGCTGTATTGTATTATATTGTTAAGAGTTCATTAAAAGGTTCCCAGGAAAATGTCTTTAAATCACACCCAGTGAGATTTCTGTAACTTACACTTCTCTCCGCACGGGAGAAGCGGGTGTTGGTATGCAGGGAGCTAATGTAGTATACAAAAATACCAAGAAATGATTTGCCTATTGAAGACCAGAGCCTGATGTCCTGGGGACTCTCCCGGGCATTTTCTTTACTAAAAATACGACTCTTTCGACTGCTGCAGAGCCAGAATCGCTACTACTTCAACGCACGGACTTCTAGCAACAAGTGATTCTCAAGACCTGGGGGAGGAAGTCAACTACACAAAGGCAGAACTGGGTTTGAGAATTGGTGGGGCAGAAAGAGCAGACGGTGGCCCTCTGGGAGA